AAAAAATTAAAATATATTATTAGTATACGGTCACTTGAATTTTCAATATTTTTTAAAATAATTTTTTATTTTTTATTTACTAATATTTTAACTCTTTAAGACATTCTTTAAGAATACCCTTTAAGAAGATAGATGAACGTTAACCAATGATGTCCTTAAGACAATGGATAAGGAAAAAAAACATTTTTTTAAAAATATTATTAATGTAATTTTAATATAATTTTATATATGTTTATTTTTAATAAATTTGTATTGTGCATCTTAACTTTTTTTTAGTAAAAATATTAGCTTTAATTTATAAGATTTAATTTAAACAATTAATAATAGTAAATATGTATTAGTAAAGTGTATCTTTAACGTGATAAATAATTTATGTTATTAACAAAATTTATTATTTTTAAATATTTAAAATTAACTCCAAAAGATAAAAGTTAACACAATCATTTAAATCTAGTAATTTAAGAGCACTTATTAATGATGGTTTTTTTAATACGTTCGTACTGAAAGATACATAATAAAAATTATAAAAAAAATAGTTGTTATTCATTAATTTTATAAAATAAAAATGAACAAATGAACAAATGAACAAAACAAAGTTAATAAAGCATAGAAAAAAGGGAAATAATTAATACAATATGATAAATGATTTTTATATTATTTTTTAACAGAAATTAAAATTTTATTTAAATAATTTATACAATAAAAATTTATTAATATTACTAAAATAAAACTCTAATTTTAATTTACAAAATACGGAAAACCTATGGTCTCTATCTAAACTTCATTTAAAAAAAAAAAAAAAACGAAAAGAGTATAAGAAGAATTGAGAATTATACTTTCGATTCCCAAAGAATAGATGAATGGTGAAACTATTGCAGCAGAACATTTTTCTTTATGCTGATTATAATAAATGATGCACTAATTTCACATTAGAGTTTTGGGGATAAGCATGGTTATTAATCTTTGAAGGATAATATTATATTTTTAAAATTATAATAAATATCAAATTTTAGATAATATACGTACAAATGTTTAAATTACTTGAAATTTGATATAAGATAAAATAAAATAATTCAATAGTTTGTGTTGAAATTTAATAATTAGTGTCAATAAATTTAAATTTTTATTTAAATATATTTTTAATAAGCAAAATTACTTTACTAATAAAAAATACGATTTTTTTATGTATACCAAAATTTTAATATTATATATATATATAATTCGATACTTTTTTATTCAATAATTGAAAGAATTAAAAAAAAAATAGAACTATTCTTTTAAGAGGAGTACGAACAATTTAGTGGGACTGGCACATCGGATTCTCCCGAGGTTCAAATAAAAAAACACGTAATGTCTTTGATGAATTTTAAATCTTAAGTTCTATAATATTTTGCAACTTAAATTTATTTTTAGTTTATAATTTTTATACTTATTTGTTTTAATTTTTAATAATCATTATTAAATAATGATTTTTCATGTATTGATTATTTGTATAATTGCATTGGAAGGAAAATAAAAAGGCCAAACACTTAAATTGAATAATATAAGAATCAAAATCATAAAAAAATTTGAAAAGAGTAAATAATAAAATTCATAAAAATTTAAAATATGTTTCAATCTTATTTTACGTACTAACAACCTTTCATTTTCTTTTTCAAATTTGTGATGAATAAATTTAATTTGAAATCAAACTTGACAGCTTTATGAAAAGCTTTAAGACAATTTGAAACAAACATATCCTAAATTCTGATGAGTGTATGCATCTAAAATCTGTAATTTTTAAATAAAAATTATTATATACAAATTTTTATTTTATGTAATGTTATATAGGCCAGAAAAATTGTGTGTATATATATATAAATAAAAGAGAAATTGATAAAAAAGTAAAGTTCATTATAATGTCAAATATCTTGGGAATATTAGTTATAATAAATTTATGTAAAACTTATAAATAAAGAATAAAAAATTTATTTTATAAGCTCTACATTTCTTATCATGTAATTTACACGCCGCATAATGTGTAATCTAACTGTGTCCTTCATAGTATGAATATTGGAACATACTGTTAAGTTCAAAAGATTCATAAGGTAACACTTTCCCATCACCTTAAAAGTTGAATATGCCCACAATTATGTTGGATATCAATATGATAAACTTTTGGTCCAGTGAACGTAAAGTTCATGTCAAATTGCTGTAAGTTTCAATCCATGATTTCAATTATCAAATAAAAAATTTCATATGATTCTATCATTCATTTTACAAGAGATCTATATCTAAGATCTATCAGCATAACTTAGAAGGTTTATTATGTGCATTGAGAATATTAATTAAGGAAACTACCAAGAATATATTTAATCTCTAACTATCCAATACTTTTTATAACCTTTTTCTTTCCATTGCTTCTTACGTAAAAATAGGAATAAATCAGATTGTCTAATAGAGATTCGCAGAACTTAACTTTTTAAAATTTAATTTAATTTAATCTATTCAATTAATAGACTTAATAATTAAGACGCATATGAATTAGTTCAAAATAATTATTTTAATATTTTCTAAAATATTATAATAACATGAAAACTACTTCATAAAAATTATAAACAACTCTCACAATAGCTAATTAAATTCTTCTATTTACCCTCAATGTCTAAAAGGGTTATATACAATTTTAGACAACTTATGAAATCGATTTTGCCTACCCACGAAGTTTTAAACCAATTTTTAACATTAAGTTATCTTTCTTGGACATATTTTCATATCCCATTTGACATTTACCCCTATTTGTTTCACGGGAAAGAAAAAGAGGATTAAAAAAATATTAAGAAAAGAAAAATAAAAAATATTTATTTTATTTTGTTTCCTCTCATCCAAATTTAAATATAGATGGATAAACCTTGAGCTCACCAATTTGGTATTTTTAGAACACCTAAACCACTCTTCATTCCAATGTTGTTAGCTATTATCCTCAGAGTCGAATAAAATTTCCTAGAACTTTGTGTATAATCCATTACTATCTATATTTATCAATTAATACTACGTCCTTATCTTCAAATTCTTCCTCTTTATACACAAACATTTTATAAGTCAAAATATGGTGGCTCGTGACCATGGCTAGGTAGCAGCCTATAGTAGATGTGTGTGCTTATTCTCCTCAATCAAAATTCTTGTTCTTCCCCTCTCTAACCTAAATAATCGTCATTAATTAAAACTCTTATTAAACTCTTTTGACTTGTGTTTATCCAAATAATGCAATTCCAACTTCAAAAAATTCTTTGGTGGTAAATGTGTCATGAAATTTGTCTATTGCATTATATGAATGAACCTGGGTGAAAAACGGAGCAAAAGAATCATACAGGTGTAGCAAACCCCCCTCCTAGGATCCTATGATGAAACAATAGAAAAACAATTTTAAGAGTCTGATTCTGATAAGGTGAAGCTATGATTTAGGGCTAAAAGACAAAATAGTGGTGCAAGAAGACAAAACTCTGTACCCTCCTATATTTCAACTCCCTAAATTATATAAATATCACCAAACAAACATATCAATTAGTGGGTACACACTTAAAATATTTTTGATGGATCAATACAAGCAAATGAGAATCTTAACTATTAACTGTTCCTCGGGCAGCGGGCACCTTCTCCATCATCTACAGAAAACAATGTACTATGATCAATTAACAAGAATTAGAAATGCAATTTGCCATTTTAAAGTACTTGGTCATCATCATCCTACCCGCTGATTGAAAGAAGTAAAATATATTATTTATTAATCACAATTAGTACGTATTTTTTCGTGATTTGAATAGAAAGAATATAAAATGAAAATGTATAAGTTGTATATGAATTGTGTATAATTGGGTACATGACATTATCATTAAAAGTTTACTTTTTGGTGGCATTATTATTATATAAATAAAGCAATAAAGTTTTCATCGATAGTGAATATAGATCCTAATTTTCTAGCACCGAAATTTGAATGTAAGGTAACCCATGAATAGTGCTTTTGAATGTTAGATAACTCAAAATATTCTGTGTGATTAAAACTCGAAAGAAAAGAAGATTCTGAATGGTTTAATTACTAACCCTTTAACGCTTTTGGTAATTGATGAAATCCCAGAAATTCAAGTCATCAGACAGCCATCAATAAAGTTCAATAGGGTCCCCAATATTTGAATGAGCCCCTCTCCCTCTCTTTGACTGCAAGGGGCAGCCCGTGATAATTCTAACCTTATTATAACCCCAAAAGAAGATGTTCACAACTGTAAAAATCACCATCCTCCTCAAATTCGAACTATATTTTTCCTCTCCCTAGGGTTAAAAATTGGGACTATAAATCCCAACACATCACTGAGTTAATTAATCTCTTCTCATGGGTTGCTAAGTTTGTACCTTTCCTTTCATAACTTTGTCTTCTAGTGTTAATGTGATTTTGGGGTTCCTCATATATCATTAATAATTCTTTCTCCTAAGTGTAATTATCATGGCAGGGCAGTAATTATGATTTGGTTAGGTACTTAGGTTTGTTTCAAAGTTGTAGCACACCTCTTCACAATTCCAAAATGGGTGTTTAAAAAGCACTTGATGTCCCTTTTCAGAAACCTTGTCTTGGGGATTCCTTGCACCACTCTCTTGAGTTTAGCCATTCTAGTGTGTTAGTGGTGAGAGAGTTACTTTGTGCCTTGTGGGGTGGTGTCAGTTATATATATACAAGGGTGTGAAGAGGATAGTTCTCAGTGGAATCATCATTACCAAACTTCTCTGCAAAACAAAAACGCAACACCCCCCTTAACTTTTGAGTCAAAATTTATCATTTCAAAGCACTCTCCAATAAGGATAAGTTTGTGTCATCCCAGTGGTTGGTTATATAACACTGCTATCTGGCCCTGGTAAAGGTTCAATCTTCTTGTTGCCAGCTTTTGTACATGCCAGTTTATAGCAACCTTTACCAGTTCTTTTAAAACAAAACCCACCAGAATAAGCTTTTCACTCATTGTCTCAAGAAAATGGCCCCTTCTGGAAGGACAACAACAACAACAAGGACAACCTCAAAGACTAGGACTACAACAACAAGAACAAGACAGAAGAGAAAAACAACACACTTCAAGAAGCAGCAGCAACATACAAAGAGCAAAAAACAAGAGATATCCACTGTTTTGCCCTCTAGCTGTTCTTCAATAACCTCACAAGACTCTTCAAAGGAAGTGAACATGGATGGTTCTGAAGTGATTGATGTGTCTAACAGTGCATGTTCCACGCCAAAAGGTCAGAAATTTAGGATACCAGAGATTTCAACATGCCCTCCAGCACCAAAGAAGCAAAGGGTACTCTCAAATTGTACTTTGCGTAGGTCACCACTTTCATTCTTTGCACCCCCTGACTTGGAGCTCTTCTTCTTCATGGCCCTTAGAGATGTTTCAGTTTGATTTTGTGTGTTCATAGAAGAAAGATACATATAATAAGATCATGACACTTTAGAAGATGGACTTTTGAAGTGGTTTTAGTATATTTTCTCTAAAAATATACCTCTAGCAAATGAGAGGGGTATACTTTAGATTTTGGTGTGTTCATCATCTTAGGAAATAGTTACTTGCCCCTTTCTTTAATTTCTTCTAATTTTAACAACTTGTAGGGTTTGTTAGTCACTAAATTTAGTTGGGGCGGTTCTCCAACTAAATTTAGATTTTAAGCTTACTTCATTTTATTTTCTTCTTTTCTTTGTTACCTCATATAGAAGAAGATATGTTCTCTGACCTTTATGTGTGCTGAGTGCAATGTAATGGGTTTGATTTAAGGTTTGTGAGTGTTCAAGCTTGCAACTCTACAAAGCTTCAGTTGTCAATTAGAGAAAAAAAGTTGAGTCATACACTTTCCTTTTGTATTCAAATCTCTCTTTATGTTCTCTTCTTCTACTTCTACACTTGATGGTAGTGAATGGTGATAATTTCAGTTTTAACAGTTAGGTACTTCTGTTTCTATACTTCTACTTGGAAAAACTTTTGTCTTGATGATATTTTCATGGCGACAACTTGTTACGTAATGGTGAACAATCCATACCCTGCATCAATTGTTTCAGAAGCTGTACTCTGTACTTGGTACTCTCAGTTCCATACTCGCAAATTAGTATAACAAATTCAAATTATCATCTTAAATCTAGCATGATTAGACACGGCTGTAATTAAGATTTTGATTTTTATGTAGTAGTTGGTAGGCCTAATTGCCTAAACCCCACTAATCATAATACTGTGGCACTATTGTTTGTCTTCAACATTTGATTAATTTAGGCTAAAATAGTGTCTACTATGGTCAAATTTAGGGTCCACCATATGTAAGTATACATTAAATGACACAGTGTTAAGTTTTAAAATAAAATAATATTTAAATATTTATGTATTTTTTTGAGATTCTAATTTTAGTTTTTTTAAAATTGATTTTAGTCCCTGTTTCATCTGACTTCATTTTTTCTCTAATAATGATGTAATTAATTAAAAATTTGTTATGTGTCTATTTTTACATAATCACATTATTATTAAGAATAAAACAGTAATGAAAAAATTGAAATCAAATATAGTGAAAAGAAAAAACTTATTTAAGCTATAGAAACAAGCATACTCTCATTTTGGTGGGAAGGCCCTTGTAACTATGTTGCCCCTAATTTGATCACACGAGGCTATAAAATTTAATTCCACAAGGGATATTTGATTATAGGGATTAATTCAAGTGGAAGTAGTGAAGGTGTGGACAATTTAACTTTTTGTGTCAAGTGGGTGTGTTTTTAATTGTTTTTTTTTTAAATATATTTGAGTGGTGTACTACTACTATTATAACATATCTGTATTTATTTGAATTCTAACTAAAATAGCTCTGATAGTTTATTATTATTTATATTTAAATAATGTTTAAATAATATTATTTTTTGTAATTATATTAATGATGAAATATTTGAAATAAAAAAAAAAACAAACACATAAAGATGTAAAAAAAAATTAATATTAAAATTAGTTTCTTAAACATAAAACTAAGTAGGATTAAGGAGATGAAATGATTTTGTCAGATTGGTGGTTCTTTGTGTGTCTGATCAGAGGCCAGCAATTGCAAGAGAATCCAATGAAGGGACTCTCGTGCGGGTCTGTCACTGTCACATTAGAGAATCTCAAGAAATTTCTCATCATTTTTTTTCACTTACTTTTGAGACTTTCCCTTCTTCATCATCACCCGTATTCATTTTTAGACCAATAATGCTATACGGCTCTACCTGTACACGCTTTTTTTATATTAATACATATTTTATTATTCAAATATGTAACTCTAGTATATTTTATATGAAATATATGTCCAATAAATATGCATGCTTTAATAATGAAATAAAAAGATATTTATTTAATAAATAAATTATAAGACACTGATTTTTACAAAGAATCTTTTAATTTTCAACTGCTTCATAAGAATGAATGAAGATATTTAAATGTAAAATAAAATAGAAATAAATCTTTAACTCTGCTGATTTTCTGAGTTCCTCTTTTTTATGTAGGGGATAGAGTAATTTGAAGCAATAGTCTTTCATTATGAATAAAGGTTAACGCATCTTGACAAATGAAATAAATTTGAAATCTAATGAACTCTCAAGATTTTTGTTTTTATTTTTAATTTTAACATTACCGTAACTTTTTTTTCTTAATTTTAGAAAAATATTCATATTAAGCGGAAAATAGAATGAATAAATGTGAAAGAAATGAAGCGCAAGAGTTTAATTGAGTTGACTGAACAAATGAATTAAATTGTTTATAATTATTATTCTATTAAGTATTATCTTATTATTTTAATTAATTTATAGTATCAATTTTTTTCATTAATTTTGTATTAAAATTAAATTCATAAATAAAATATATAATTTATAGATTTTAATGAAATTTTTAGTTATTTATTTTATTTTTCTTTATGTGTAACCCTTTGTGGTATAATCATCATCCTCTCAATTCTGGCACTGTCATGTCTGCTGATTTGTCGACAACTATTTTTTTTTTTTAATGTATTACGCTTTCATAATTGAAGAAAATAAATATTTATTTTGATTTTTAAATTATAATTATTAGTTATTTTAGTCTTAATTTTATAATAAAAATATTTGAAATTTTTTAAATTTATTTATCTTTATTATTATTTTGTAAAAAGGATTAAAATAAATATTATTTCATAAAATTAAAATAATTGATATTTTTAATTTAAAGGATCAGAATGAATACTTGCTCCAATTGCAAAATCTGATCAAATCACACTGAATAAATTGTGCATAGTTGAAATTACATTGTTCATTATCGATAAAAACATATCATTTTTTTTTAAAATGTTAAAAATATATTTATATTTAAAATATTTTTAAAATATTAATAATATTGCTAAGCATATTTTTTATGTTATATATAACTTCAATTATTTATAAAAACATCAATAATTTTTAATATATATTTTTATTCTTTATATTAATTGATAAATTTTATTTATATTATTATTTAAATTTATACTTATTTAAAAATTAATAAAATATTTATAATACAAGAAATAAGTATATATAATTTTATATTGATAATTATAAAATAAAAAGATAGTTTAAGTTTTAGAACACGAAATAGTAAATTATAAATTTACATTATAAAAAAATGCCGATATGAAAATTTAGATTCACAATCATTATATAATTATTTTATTATTATTATTAAACTTTACAAAAAAATATAAAAAAATGGATTTTTTAAAAATATCTAAATCAAACGCATGAATTTTACAATCTCAACTTAAATTTTTTAAAATAATTATCGAAATAACTGTTCCCGAAAGTTTACTTGAGTTTACTTTAACAATGTTATCTGCAATTATGTATAGTTATAATTAACTAGTTATTGTCTCGTGACATGTGAATTATTAACTAACATATTATATTTTGAAATAAAGAAGACATTTAAAATTAAAAAGGAAATAATCATAATTAATCTTAAAGAGTTTAGAATTTAAAAATAAATAAGAAAAACATATTATTATTAAATAAAATAAAATTTAGTGTTCTAACTTGAACTGTAATTTTAAATTTAAATATAAATGAATGTAATTACATTAAATATTTTAAAAAAATATCATTCATAATAGTTCTAACCGGTTCAATACAGTATTATTTTTTTATGATTTTATATAACGAAAGAATTTTTTATAACAAGATTATTTTTATTAAAAAATAGTTGTTATATATACTAATTTGTGTCTTAGTAATTTGAACTCTTGTTGAATGATGTGCTCTATACAATGGTATATAATCATATACACCCATGATCCATATATATTGAACTCAAGCGACACCACTTTTGTAATATTCGAATAGAATCATGTCTAGGGTTTGTGTAAATTCATTTGTTGTTCTTAAATCAAGTTGATCACCCATTAAAACTAAATTTAGCAATTATATAACTCATTTTATGATATAAAATTATAGTATAACAACAAGAATCTCTTTCGTGTAATTATACATCTATCAAAATTATTTTTTCATATTATTAGTGCCATCAAGGATTAACTATGAAAATATACACTTTTGTCTTTATCCCAAAAGACAGTTCAAAATTGAATGTTCCATTTGAATCTTAAAATTTGTTTAGGAGAAAGATAGCAAAATGAAAAAGTTCTTGGAGAATAAATTCTTATTTAAAAGTTTGGAATATTTCATTCTTCATTTCCTTTATCCAATACTAATTAGATTAAAAACAAAGTTTGAATCGCTTTCAAACATCTCCATTGTTGACTTCACACATGTTAAGGTTCAATGTCATCCTTCCAAAATTCAAATAGAATCTTGTAGTATATGATGCAAAAATTGTGGGGATTAAACTTACGATTTGCATGGTATGCTACAATCATATAATATATTTTTATTGAGTTTAAATCTTTCTTTTTCTTTCTTTTTTGGCAAGGCTTTATTGAACCCAGTCAATGAGAAAAGAACATGGGAGGATAAGAAACAACCAGTTGAACTCTATTCAACAAATGACTTTTCTTTCTTTCTTTTATTAGGTTTAACTTACTTTATTTTGTTTGAATATGGTAAAACCATTAAAAGAGATATTTTTTTTAGGTAAAAAAAATGTTTATATTATTATCTAATATTATTTTAAATAATAGATTAAAAGTAAATCCTTATTTATCTGGATGAAAAAAAATTTGCTTGAGGGATGTAATTAAATGCAGACAACTGGTAATTGTTGGTTGGGCTAAAAATGAATATATATATATATATATATATATATATATATATATATATATATATAGCTAGGGTAATAAAAGAATTTAGAGTAAATTCTTCCAATTCATTAAAAATAAATAGAGTATTCAACGTATCTTGCTGTGATATAAAGAAACAAATGAACCTTTAGTTTTCTTCTAT